ATATTAAGCTCAACATTGTATCAACCTGTAATGCAATAATCTTAATAAAGAATCACTGGCAAGACTGCCAAAGATGGAAAAAAAAAATTTGTATATAAGAAATTTACTACTAAAGATATATATCTTGCATAATATATCCTAAAAAACTATTTAACAAGTGTTTTTTTGATCATCATCTATTATCGAATACCTCAAATATATTTATTTTTTATTTTTTTTAATCAAATTCATTAGCTTTAAAGTATAGAAAATGTATATATTATAATGAAGATAATACGAATAACATGTGATATAACAATTGGAGGATAGTAAAATAGAAATAAAGATATTAATATCAATTTACTCTATATTGTGTGTAATTATTACATTGAGCTACAAGTAGGTTCAACATATTTATTTATTGTATTTTGCAAAATTTTACCTCTAATCATTTTTTATATAATGATGCAAATCAAAAATTGTTTGTGATTACTATTAAAAATTAGTAATTGCAAATGATTTTTGATTTGTATCATTATATAAAAAATAATTAGAGTTAAAATTTTGTAAAGTAATAGTCTGATAAATAAAATATTTATTTCTATTTGTGCTCATGCTTTAGCTTTATTTTCAGAATATTAAACAATAAGAAATATTTTTAAAATTCCTGGTTATAGTGGTAGTAAGTTTTAAATCTATTCTTTAATTTGCATCTAGTTTCTTAATTGCATTGATTTAATTACTAATGCTAATATAATTAATTAATAAATCAGTTAATATATTTATTATTATATATCATTAATTTATGAATAATATGATTACATAGTTTACGTAGTTATAGTATTTTCAAAGATAAATTTTATATAAATAAAGAAATTTTTTCTTTATTTTTATAACTTTATTGCTTGAAATTAGGATATGATGTATAAAAAAAAAGAAAAAAGAACACATTCTGACACTGCCTTGAACTTTAATACTTTGTAATACCCTAAATAGTTATTAGATAAACAAGGTGCAAAGTCCAATGAACCTAATGAACCCAATGAATGTAGAATATCAAAATTCAATAAATATAAAATTTATTCAAACCAACTTCGTCTACATCAGCTTCGTTGTTCACATCAATATTATTCACAGTAGCTTTATCCTCAATTATGTTCATATTAGCTTTGGCTGCAATAGCTTCGTTCGCATCAGCTTCATCAGCATCAGCTTTATCAGCATCAATATTGTTCACATCAGCTTTACCAACAACTGTAACACCAAAAAAAAAAGAAAGATCAGCTTTCAAAAGGAAATAAGTTATTTTTATTTTTTTTTTATTAGTATTCTATCACTTATTAAATCATATAATTTTTTATAACTTAGCCTCAAGTTATTATTCCAAAAGAAGTAAGTTAATTTTATTCATATTTTTTATTAATATTCTATTAATTATTAAATTATTTAATTTAATGTAACTTAGCCTCGAGTTATTATCGAATCTACACTGCTGGATACTTCTAATAAAATAGCTAAAATTTCAAGTTTGTAAAATATTTTTTTTTTATTTATAATTTTATTTTTACTTTATAATTTTATTTTACTTTATATTTTTATTTTATAGCTCCAACTACTATTGATCCATGTATTTTAACAAGGTTCTAAGTATCATGCAAAATAATTATGCAAAACTCGACCAGCTAGCTAGGAATTAGACTAAGCTTGAATATTTGATTAATGAATAGTGAACACAGCTTGGTGAAGTTTTAAAAAAATTAGACAGTATTGATGAGTTAGATAATATTGTCAAAAGAGCAAAAGAAAAAAGCCTGCAAAAAATGTGTTAGATGTTTGCTTTCAAGTATGTATACGTCTTCATTACACTAATAGTTTGCTATCTATTAATGTTATTATATATGTCACTATATATATTATATGTTATATAATGCAGCCAAAAAATTAGCACATGATTTATTTCATAATCATAGACAGGCTAGCAATGAAGAAATAAAAGAGCAACTTAAAAAATACTAGAAAATAACGATGAATATAAGAAAAATCTACAAAAATTAAATGAAAAAGGTGTTTCATTTAACAAGTTTTGGAGTAATAAGCTTTATTCAGAAATAGGCATTTTAATCCAATTTTATTTATATGAGTGCCACAAGAGTAAACCCACAATTTTAAAAATAGATTATTATAAATTTCATAATCTATTTTTAAAATTACATGTTTACTCTTACAGTACTGATATATAATTACTAAATATTAGATTTAATTTATTTAATATACTGTAATATAACTGCATT